ACTATTTACGATCAAGTGATCAAGTTGGTGTTCGAAATCTAAGTTATACAAAAGCGCCGCAGAATACATGCGTTTCAAATATGAATTTTTGGCCAATTAAAAAATTCCGTAGTAAATAGCAAAATCGGCTATTTACACACCAATAAAGTGAAAGTTTAAAAGAAAAACCGCACACAAGTGTCTCGAGATAAGAGAGGCAAATTTATTAAAGAAGACGAACTTAACCTGATCGATACAGAATCAAGCACATTCGAATTAATGGAGACGAGACTGAGTGATGATTCATCAGGTGAAAAACTTTGGGAAAGCGATGAGGTAAGTGTCTCATCAGCGATTATTGTTGATGATATCTTTGCCGGAGATACTTCGTGTATTGTCGTTGTAGGGGAAAGCAATGTTTTTGTTTCCGTATGAATATGGGCGGCCAAGGCCCTTCGGCTGGCTGGTGATTTTGACCCTCGGTTTAACGGTTGCTGACTAAGGATTGTTAATTATATTATTGTCACCAAATTTTGTTCCTATGAAAAAAAAGTCGAGAGCATCACAATATACTGTAAGCTTTTTTCGTGAATTGTGAACTGGACGGTGGCATTTTTTTGTGTCGCTGTTATAGATTTTGCCAGTCTTCCATTGGAATAGCAATTCGTTGATTGGTCTTTCGCCTTTTCTGAGGTATTCTGTTACGCATGCTCTTACGCAAACGCCCATTGTTGTTACGGAAGGAGAACTAATGATTTTGCGTAGAATTAAGGGTGACGCAGGACAATCGGATATCGTGATAGGTAATTTGACATTATCATGTCGAGGGAATCTTCGTGGATTAAATAGGTAAATTTTCCATATAGTAAGTAAACAGTTTCTAACTGCAGTGCATTACCGATTGAAAAATCGCTTTTTTCAGATTCTTCCACTTTTTCTTGTTGTACAAAGTAAGTAAATCGTATTGCTTGTACAGTCAACCCTCTTTATAGTCACCCCCTCTATAAGCACATCATATAAAAACCTTTTTATAAGCACACCATGTTTGAGAACCAATTACCATTGAACTTATAGGAAAAACCCTCTATATAGTCTCAATCTCTTTTATAAGCACATTTTCAACAAAAGTTGCATTGTTCCCGACAGCGTGACTATAAGAGAGGGTTGACTGTATATGATTTTCAAGTAAGCGACAGTGAGCGAGAACTTTATGTATAGTGTATTCATTTATTGATTCTATTGTTTGTTGAGCGATATACACGGTTACGGAAATAGAGGCAGGCATTTTTTGGAGAGAGAAAGAATTAATAGTATTTAGAGGTAGAGATATGGAAAAATTAATAAAAAGCGAGGAAAATATAGACAAGATTTGAACTGGTTTCTTGTTTTATATCATTTCTTGTTTGTGAATGTAGGGATAAAATGATGAATAGATGTCGTCACTAAATATATACGTAGCTTTTTTTGTTTAATTTAAAAAAGAAATAAAGCAAACATGTGACGATATGCAAATGAGTTTAACTTCGTTAGATATAAGATAAATTAATGCTTTGCTTAAAGGGAAACAGTAATTACATTGTTTAGTTTCATGTTAAACAAATACGGACATATGATGTAATAATGCAATATGAAATGACAACATTATAAACTTTGCGCCAAAGTTTGGTATTGTAACATACGTCATTTTTACTTTTTTACACTTTCGGCTGCAAACACTTGGGGGAAAGTCTTAGTCTGCGTGTGAATGGTTACTGCTTAAGTAAACTAATACATAAAATAATAAGCTTTAAATATAAATATATAAATATATATATGTTTACGTAAGGTTTGATTAATTAGAATAAACAATGATGTCAAAGTTGTGGGAAAGACGCTTAGTCTGTTGCGTATGACAACCAATATGGAGAAAGCTCATCGACTGTGATGTGAATAATAAATAGTCTGTATCGCCTGAAATGAAATGCTATTCTATTCTAGTCATCGTGCCGATCACTAAACTATTTATGACAAGGCGCCATCAGCTCATTAACAAACCAATGAACGGACTCCGATGAAGTTTCGGAGAATCACATGAGGCTGGATGGATGGCAGTAGTAGTAAAAACGAAAAGCGTTAAATAACGTTAATGAAAGTTTGAATGTCCAATCGTTTATTCCAAAACATTGCACTCAACACACCAATAGCTGAAGGATTTCTTATGACTATGCGTACCTACTGTTGTTTATAGACAATTTTACTACGAGATAATTTACCTCTATACTAACCGTTCGGTTTACAATACATTATTCAACTTAACCAAACGCTTATCTCACGAGTCGTATCATTCTAATTGCCTTTAACATCAGTCACCACTTGGATAATCACTTTTTTTGTAAAAATTTGGTAAATAAAGCCCGGTCGTCGTTGGCTGGAAGTTCTTGTTATAACTCCAAATTAAATGCAGAGTAAGCATAGATTGCGCAGTGCTGATAGGAGGACTAATAAAACCCAACACATTATTAGTTTTTTCATTCTCGAAGAAATAGTTTACCCAATAATCTTTTGTTTCATGTGCCAAAAGGTAGCCTCCTACATTAAACGGGTGATCTATCTGGTTTTGATAGACGAAATATCCACTTTTATCAATTGTCGGTCCTATTGATTTTATCAACTTTTTGGCATTCTCTAAGATCTTGACTCGTTCTTTACCATCTTGAACATCAAGAATCATCGCGCCCATGATGTCTTGCACCCAGTTCATAGTATACATAAAATGCCTTGTTTGAGGACCAGAGAGTGATTTTGCAATGCGGTGGAAGTCGTCTTTGGAACGATAGTCACAGACGTGATTGCTCCACAAAACTGTGCATGGCTTGAGTTCTTTTTTTACATAACTTGAGAGCCAATCGCAGTCTGCTTCTATCAAATCAGCTTTGTATAAGAAGATTTTGAGAATAGTCTTTGGAGTTTTGACGGCTGAAGTAGAATTACCACCACCATCGTTGTTTCCGCCAACATCACTCTCACAACCTAGCCATTGTTTTACTCTATTAATTTGTCCTTCCAAATATGAATAAACTGCATCGAGCAGCGATGTCGTATTGCGATCGTACTTTGCAAGAACATGTACCATTGGAACGCCTCTAAGCACCATCTCAGTATCTTTATGTGGCTCATATCCATCCATACAAGCAAACATAGTGACACTTCCCAAAAGCTCATCATCATTGAGAGCAAACCGTTTCATATGATCGGTCATCTTTTTTTTCTTGTTGGAGGCTGTTTTAGATGATCCTCCCGAAAGCAAAGGAAACTCCCCTGTCAGAATATATCTTGCGACTTCAACACGATCTCTCTCCTCACTCAGATTATTAATAGCGATATATGGACTAGAAGTAGGAGGACAATGCTTCATCCAATTCTCATGAGCAGTCGTGACTCTCAACCGCGGGTCACGTTTTCTAACCGAAGACCAATATCGAACAATCTTGAAAACCCTATCTTGTGGCTCCGGATTTGGAATCTTTTCAGCTGGATCTGTCCTCCGATTGGCATCTCGTTGCTGTATCACTGCATCCACTGCTTGCAGGAAATGGTCATATGTTGTTTTTGTCCACACAGTCGAATACCACACCTGAACAATACTAAGCGTAGGAGCATTATTCGCAATCATAGCAACTACGACCTTTGTCTTAGCCACCGCATATTCACTTGCATCAAACCCGATAATTCTAGTGATTTGTCCTTCCACATTATTTTCACGGACATTAGCCTTAGTATTAGGCTTATGCTTGTTAGAACCAACACTTGCACTTGTGATAGTGGCTCCGAGTAGTATACTCAAGTCAACAAACCCAATTGCGAAATTGTTCCTTCCCTGTGCATAGATGATATTAAGTTTAGCTTCATTTGCAAAACTTTGTACGGTTCTCTCAATGCCTTTACATTTCTGTTTGGCTCTGTCACGGTAGACGGATCCTTTCCCGAGGTTATGGGAACATAGAAACCTGGTAAGTTCATATGAAGCTGGTCCCCACGCTTCTGATTATGACCGGGATCTGAAATTGCTGTGTCTGCATCCAGAAATTTTTCTTGAAATGCAAGTCTTACTCCAAGTTTCTTTGAGATGGAAAGGGTATTATAACCTGAGGAATCGGTGGGGTAGTAGTTTTTGTATTCAGTTGCATAGGAGGTCTTTGACGATGCATTAGAAAAAGGTCCCTCTGGGTCCACTAGGTTCATCAAGTTCGCCAGTCTATCTAAATCTGCAAATGACTCTTCCTCCGTTTGTCTCTGACCATGGACAATCATGGCATTATTGTCTTTCTCGCTTGTCTTCTTGGGTGTACATACCATTTTATGCTTCTTCCAGTCTGACTTTTGATGTTTGGCGTTACAGTAGTAAACTTTATTGCAACGAGCACAACATTTAGTGGTTGGAGCATTGCAGACGATGCAGTATGTAGTGACATTCTTTGCAGGCGAAGTTGACATTGTATGGGAGTAAAGGATGATGATTATGCCGATTACGATGATGATAAAGATGTTAAACATGATGGAGGATCGTCTAGCTATTGCTATTTTCAAGCTGAATGCAAATTCAAAACACTGGGGTGATTATCAGGAATTTACCTGCCAGGTCGCACAACCTGACACGTCGTACAGTCATAATATTTCTATTTATGGTCCAATGAAAGGAAATATTTGAGCCTGCACGACCTGGCAGGTTGTTCGACATGGCAGGTAAATTCCCTGTTTGTTTCAACTAGAGCTTGAGTTATGAGGGGCTTTGGCCCCTTTACTTTGTGATTGGGTTTCTGGCTAGAACTTGAAATTTTATAAGCAGCTTGTCTTATAGTTTATTGGAATAGTAGATTATTAGATGTTTTGATGGTTATAATGAATTTTTATCATAATTACGTGTCTAATGCGAGTGTTAAAATGGTATTGAGGGTTAGATGGTCTATTTATTAAGAGTAGCATTGTCAGATTGGAGTTATTCTGCTTCAAGCCTGACTTACTACTATGTCAAGTTTGCT